TAGTTTTAAATATTTGTATATTCCCTTGGTCCAGTGGTTGAAGAATTAATGTATCGGGTGGCAGACAAACAACTTTAACATGAGGATTTAAATTTACAGGATGGCTTGGCAGGTTATCCATTAGTAACAAAACTGTAATATTAATATTTTTTTATTGTAAATAATCTTCGACCTCTGGTATGAAACCTTTATAAAACCAGTTTCAAAACATTTTGCATGTAATCCATGCCTTTTTATTGACTTGCCTGTAAACAGGAAGCATTGATTTTTCTACGTTTTGCATTACACACTGATTTAATGTGCCTTTAATTAACATCGGTGCAGTTACATGTTCTTCAGCTGCATTAGAACACAAAACCAAAGTTATTTTGTCTTTTGATCCCTTGAAACTGGAAGCAAAAGTAATTTTTTGCAATATATGTCCTGCCAGACTTTTTTTTCCCACACAGAGCTAATTCATCAACTTTATCGGCTTCTTCTGCTATGTAATTGCCCTCCTCAGCAATTTTTGGAAAATCTTTGAGCTGCTGTATCAGTTAATGCATTTGCTCCAATAATTCTCATATTATGCAAACAAAATCTCTTCTTGATGCTCTCAAAATATCCTATGTTGGCTTTAAATTTAGGTTTATGCAGTTCTTTAGATGAAACAACATCAGAGTCTGTTAAACACTGGTAAAATTTAAATGTCTTTTGTTTTATGGCAAGACTATTTAAAGGTATACTTCTCGAGTGACAGTCTTTACTCTATGTAATCAAACATTCTTCCATCTTAGTCACCAACATGTCTTATTCGAGCAACTTTTAATTGAATAAAGATGTATTACTAGATAATATGGCTCGTATTTTGCTTTCATTGTGTCCTATTGTTCGTATTGTTGACTCTCATAAGTTCAATCTTTAGCAATGGCTGCCACTTTCGTACCAGATTTCAATTTTTTCCAAATTTTGGTTTTGTCATCCGGAGGTATATGCTTTTCTTTCAACTTCACAGGTATTCTATTTCAGTATGCATGGTTAAATATCAATTGCATCTTATTAGCAATATGTGATAACTTTCAATTAAGAGCACTACTGTTCAGATTTCGCTCCAGTGCAAATTTCACTCCCCTGATGCAGCCCAAGTGCTCTTTGTGGTTGCTATGGTGGCGGCTGCAACGCACCAAGACATTCAGTGAGAAAACTACATCATGGCCCATGGAACGGCAGTTTACCACATTCCCTGAAAAACCAGAAAAAGGTCAGGAAATTCAAAAATTGACAAAAAGTCAGGGAATTGAAATATTTTAGTCAAAATCTGGAAAAGTCGAGGAATTTCATATGGCGGTCCCCCAAAAAAGTGATTGTAATGCCAAGGTTGCAAGCAATCTCTTTCTTGCTGAATTATTTATTGTGTGAGTGTTATTCGAGCATTTGGCATAGAGCCAGTTTTCACAGTGCCAATCAGATTGTCTTTTAGGAAGGTAAACCAAGATTTCAGCAACTTTGTTTTTCAGTAACCTTAGATTCGAGAGATTCACATGTGCATGTGGAACAAAATACCCATTCTCGTACAAAACAAAATCATACCTTCCCATTCTCGTAGAAAACAAAATCAATTTAATACTAGTATATGGTACAGTCAAAAGTCTTTAATCCACACTGTTGGGACTTCGGCGATTCCGGATTATAGATCATCAATTTAAACCTGGTAAGATGGCATGCAGAAATTATAAAATTAAAAATATGAAACTGTAATTTATGAAATAAAGAGCATTTATGATTTAAAGGGTATCAAAATTTACAAAAAAAAACTTAATATTTACTTGTTTACTTTATTAAACATTTCTTTCAATGTGCACATGCACAAAGCATACATTACGCATAGTCAAAATTGGAAAATTGCAACCAAAAAACTATTTGATGTGTATTCGTGATATTTATAATGACGAGGAAATTGATTTAAATCATATCAAAGACGGAGTACATCGAGATGAAATACTACATTTAGTATGTAATTATACGCTGAATAAAATAAAAACATCTGCTCTGAAGATAAGGATAGTGCTGACAGATCAACTTCCAGTTCATTGCATGCCGTGACATTTTCCCCCACTCCCGCAGAGCAGTGTGAAATTGATAAGCAGATTTCGGAATGGTTAGAAAAAATAAAGGATATGCCTTTATCCATTTTTTGCAGCAATTCCACTTTTGTTTCATGGGCATCGAAACGTGCTTTCGTTTGTAGATCCTTTGGCAGCTCCAGCATCGGAAATTCTTTTTGACATAATCGAAAGTTCAAGCTTACTTTTATAAAATTGCTCTAACAGTCTGCAAAATAATAAGCCGGATCCAATTAGAAGATTAAGGAACAACACAATCTGCAACATTAACTGAAATAGATAATTTTAGCTTAGCTTATGCTGTCCGTTATACATTAAACGCGCATGCGTAAACGTATTATGTGCATGCGTAGATGCATATGCGCATGCGTTAACACATTATGTGTTGACGCATGTGCAGAAAGTTTGTAGCTTCGAGGTCCGGATTAAAGACTTTTGACTGTACACGCAAAATTTGGCGGCATTATGATGAGCATTAAACTGGACATTTATGGGCAGGTCATTTTAGTGTTGGAGACAGTTTTTAAAATCGTGCCAAGGCTGTGCTGTATACTAGGATTTTTAACCACAAAATCTTTTAAACTTTTTTGTTCTTTTTTAAAAATGCCTTTTTGTCATTTTGCTATAAAATAAAAAAATAGTAATCAGTCATCTAGGCTAATTATTTAATATAATCATAATCGCCAAAATACTTCTGATTATTGTAATTCAGTTTTTAATGTTTAAATAATTAACTTGATTTTAATGTTATCCATATCATTTAATGTGGCTTCTTCCTTCTAAATTTATTTTTTATTAGTTAATAATGGTTTAAAATTCTAGGCAATTTTCTCTGGCATACTCCTGAAACTAATTCTAGCAGTATGATATACCATCACGAAATTTAATGCACTTATTTTTTGCTTATGTATGCTGCTAAATAAATATAAATTACCTGAATTTATTTTAAAATATCATTAAATAAATTTTTTTCTTGCATTCAGCAGCAAAATGTCTGCAAAAGAAAACATTTTTTAATTTGGATTGGGCAGATTCTAATCTCAATCTTCAGTGAACCAACAACTCCTATTACAGTTATAATAGTAATGCTTTGGGGATAAGTCATAAGTAAATGGCAATTTTTTGTGTTTGCCATACCATAACTGGTACCATAAATAATTTACCTCTCAGCTCAGCCAATGCGCACTCACGAATAAACTGGAATTTTCTTAAAACATGCTTGGAAAACCTGAAAAAGTTCAGGGAATTTCATTCTCCTATTTGGGTAGCAACCCTGAAAAGGGAATGAGGTGTGTGAGATTGGTCTGATAATGTATGTCCCATATAATGCAGTTTTTTATTACATGGAATGCATCTCCCACATTGTATGGGAGTCAACTGTACTTCCATTCATTAAAGAAAGGACCCATCAGCTGCTTTCAGATTATGCATTTAGCATTTTCCTCGTCCTATTTGAGTTTGCCACTGATTTAAATTGTAATTATTGTATGATAATTAAACTTCTTCCTGTTGTTCTGAAATTTCACTTTTTAAAAATCCAATTATGAAACTCTATTAAATATTGCAGCAAAAATATGCCAGAAAGAGGGGCTATTATTTTCAACTAAATAATTTACTGTCAGCTTTTGCTTAATCCTTTGTTTATGATGAATTTTCAGTTGTATGGCTATATAAATTAACTTTTATAGCACTATTAGAAATACTGGTTTATATAATGTCAAATTTTCTATGCATTACCTATGCAAATTATTTACCTGCATTTATACTTCTAGCAAAAATTGTTATTTTTTAATTTGTGTCATTAATTTGATGACATTATAAAATATTTATAATACGAATAAAAGAAAAATGCACCAGTATCAAATTTAGAATTATGAAAACTAACCTTGAAAAGTTAATTACAGAACGACAGGAAGGAGTTTAATTATCATAGAATAATTGCCATTTAAATCAGTGGTACTGAAATAGCATTAGGATTGTGTTAAATGCTTAGCATTCATTACCTACCATAAGTTAGGTATATTTTGCAAATTGTTAAAAAATACATTTATAGATTTTATTAAAGTTAGTATTGCTGTCAAAAGCGATATGCAGATGTCAGATAATGAGTCAAACAGTGATTTACCCATAAAAGTCATGTAGATTAGGATTGATCAGACTCGCTTGTGCCTTGAATAATCTGTGCTAAGAGAAAAGTATTGAACCATATTGTCATTGATTTTAGACTAAAAAAATTTTGTTAGATTGTATGAATGGGCTATTGAGATTTTCATGTCAATAAATTTGTATCTCCTACACTCACTCCTTTTTTTTTTTTTTTTTTGTCTTTTGTCTCACTCTGTTCATAGTCTGTTTACATGATTGCCAGTTTTTTAGAAAAATGGTCTGGCGCTTCTATATATTATAGTTCTAATGCATTCAAAAACGTTTCATTGCATTCAACGTTCTAATGCATTCAACCTGCTGACATGACTACCATAGTTTTCATTCAATGAGGTATGATTTAAACTGTCACTGCACAAGAATAGCAAGCAAACATTAATTCCAGTAACTTAAGTCCAGCAACTTTCTTTGTCCCCTCCTTGTACTACTTCCAGAGATGTTTTCTTGCATATAATGTATGTATGTGTTTCCTAATCATTTACATTTCTCCCAGAGCTTGCGGAAATAGAATGATTATGTGAAAAAAATAAATGACTAATTATGTATTAAAAATATAAATCATGTAAATTTTAAGTGAATTGTCTTTCCTAGTGGTGTATCATTTTAATAGTATTGGTGTAGTGTTATTTATATGTTACATTAGTTGCTTTATTTGTAAATATGTCTGTGTATGCATTCTGTTCCCTTTTAATTCATACTTGCAGTGTTTATATCTAGTGTATTTATATTTACTAGGCATAATTTAAATTTACCCCTTACAAGTGCATATTTCACCACTTCAGAACCGAAGGCAAAATTTTTAACAAGGTACCATCAGGAAAGAACTATGAAGAATAGTGGAGAGCTTACAAATAAAGAGGTAAAATAAACAATATTGTATTTTGATTTCATATAACATTTTGCAGCTTAATTTTGCTAATTTATGGTAATTAAAAATTTTTTGTATACAGAATAGAGGATTATAAGTCTCTCAAAACAATATCATTGTGCACATTTAAATATTTGCAGCATTCAGTGCATTATTATTTGAATTCTGCTCTGTGCCAAAGCGACTTTTGTATCTAGTATCTAGAAAAATTGTCCAATGACCTTGCAGGTCTCAGAAAATGCATAGCTAGTGAATATGTACTGTATCTAAAATGCACAGGAAGCACATCTAAGGTGCATTTCTTGGCAAATGTGTCAGTTTGAGCTGCATATGTAGTAGTATTTGCATTAGCTAATGGGAATGCTTGTCAGGGCACATCCCAGTCTCTGTAGAACCAATTATGCAAATTTGACAGGTTACACCAACAATTGCAGGTGCAGGTTTGTGGTATTGAGAAATTCTCTGCCATCTAGCAGTGTTGGCAGAAATTGTTTAGCTAAAGTAGCAGGTCAAGGAATCGAAAAGTAACACATGATGTGCCAGAATTTTTTAATTTTTTTTTTAATTTTTGTGTTGTACTATTACAGGAGTCACATGGCCTCTGACATTATCATAAATTTAGCCACTGTGGGTTCATAAGTTACAGATGATTAAGTTATTGGTTATTTTATTATATACAGTCAAAAGTCGTTAATTCGGACGTCCAAAATCCAGCATGATCTATAATCCGGACCTCAAAGCTACAAACATTCTGCACATGCATAAAAGCATAATGTGCTTACACATGTGTGTTTAATGTATAACGCATGGTATAAGCTAAGCTAAAATTATCTATTTCAGTTAATGTTGCAGATTGCATTGTTCCTTAATCTTCAAATTGGATCTGGCTTATTATTTTTTGCAGACTGTTAGAGCAATTTTATAAAAGTAAGCTTGAACTTTCGATTATGTCAAAAAGAATTTCCGATGCTGGAGCTGCCAAAGGATCTACAAACGAAAGCATGTTTCGATGCCCATCAATCAAAGTGGAATTGCTGCAAAAAATGGATAAAGGCATATCCTTTGTTTTTCTAACCATTCCGAAATCTGCTTATCAATTTCACACTGCTCTGTAAGGGTGGGGGAAAACGTCGCGGCACGCCATGAACTGGAATTTGATCTGTCAGCACTATCCTTATCTTCAGGGCAGATGTTTTTATTTTATTCAGCTTATAATTCCGTACTAAATGTAGTATTTCATCTCGATGTACTCCGTCTTTGATATGATTTAAATCAAATTCCTCATCATTATAAATATCACGAATACACATCAAATAAATTTTTGGTTGCAATTTTCTAATTTCGACTATGCGTAATGTATGCTTTGTGCATGCGCACATTGAAAGAAATGTTTAATAAAGTAAACAAATAAATATTAAGGTTTTTTTTTTTTTTTTTTTTTTTTTTTTTTGTAAATTTTGATACCCTTGAAATCATAAATGCTCTTTATTTCACAAATTACAGTTTCATATTTTTAATTTTATAATTTCTGCATGCCATCTTACCAGGTTTAAATTGATGATCTATAATCCGGAATCGCTGAAGTCCCGACGAGTCCGGATTAAAGACTGACTGTATTTGTTTTAACAAAAATCCTTAAAAAATATAGCTGATTTTTCATTATTTAACTATCCTTTTTTTCTTTTAATTAATTATCAGTTAATTTTAGGTTGTTAATTTGTAGTTAATATGTTGATATCTGTTGCTAAGTGCTTCTTCATATCCGAATTATTTAATTCTGTTGAATTATCCTCTTATTTTTTTAGTCACTTTTTACTATAATTATTAATATTGTAATTAATTTTTTGTTTTGATTTTTAACTTATTTGTTCATCAGATTCTGAATACTGAAAAAAAGCTGTGGTCTTTTGCTGTTAAATTTGTTTGTGTTATTTAGAAATTTGATGCCACTTTAATTTTTTAGTCTACAAATTCAGACTCCTAAAATTGCTTTGATGTTTTCATTTGTATTATAATATACTCAATAGCAGAGATGCTTGCATCATGAAACATCAGTATATTCATCCATTATTAGAGAACATGTTGATTTTTTTAATTTCATACACTTTCTTTGAGCAATTCAGCTGAAATGATTTTGGGGAGGAATGCTGTGCATTTTGCTCTGTGTAAACATAAAAATCTTAGATAAGAAATTTGCTGGCATTTTGATATCAAAAATTTACTCAAATGGCCAAGGGACTACTATACGGATGTATGGCAAGCAGTAAACACTGAAAGTTTCACTTCAAATTGAGTAATGTTCTTCATATTTTCAAATGAACTTTTTTTACTGTTGTGAAGCAGAATTTAAAAAAAAAAAGTATGCTTTAAAGAAATACTATGCTTCATTAAATCAGTTTTATGCGCCCTTATTTCACATTTACATAGCTTGAATAAGGTTTTTTTATTTGTCTGCTAACCAGTTCTCAAACATTGCCATTTTGAAAGGTGGTCCAGATTTTTTTCATGTATCTCATAATTCATACTTAAGTTAATGCTGCTTCTATAATCTGACTTCAGTTTTCCAAGCCTGCTCTTAGAACACCAAAATATTAAACAAATCACTTTATCAAACCAATAAAAACACTAACAAGTGCTGAAATCTGAATACATAATATGCTCACGTGTAGTGATTGCAGGATTGCCAGATTTCATCTTTTGTTTAAGCCTAAATAAATTATTGCCTTCTATTTATAATTAATTTTAATGGATATGGTATTTTCACATAGCCGCATTGTATGATATATTAAAAAAATAAAGTAGCACAGAAAAATGATGGAGTAGCAGAAAATTTGCAAAATTGCACAGACTTAAATTTTAAGAGCCATAGATTAGTCAAAAGTAGCTAATTGGCAAAAAATCACAGTCGGGTGATGTTTCCAATAAGATGCCAGAAACCATTATTAAAGCAGCAACAGGCCTAGGATAGTAATTCTAGTGAGGTTAGGTTAACTGAATATGGCAAAGCTCACAAGAGCTATCTTCCTAAGGGGAGGACTTCTATGGGAAACTGTCTCATATTGGCATTAACTGCATATAGAATGTGTAAATCCCACAGGTTGAACTTCCACTGATCATATTGAGTAGTATTAAACATGCAACCACTGGTGAGGCCAATTTTAATGAAGATCATGCAGCAGTGAAAGCAAATTTTGGAGGACAGCAGCTGATGTTTCTGCAAGTTAGTACCAGGTCAAATATTCTCATGCATTGCTGCCCAGGCAGTTGTAAAGGATGCTATGATATATGTAATTATTTTTTGTGTTTGTTCTGTAAATAAATTTATTACTATCAAATTTTAATCACTCTTTAATCTTTTTTTATTGCTTGTAAACAGATTTTCTAGGCCAGTGAATTTTTTAATACAGAGCATAGATTAATTCTTAAAATGAATAAGTAAATGTATATATTAAAATGAATAAATAAATTTAAAATTAATATTAATTTAATTTAAATTATCATTCTGATGTGGCCTGTGGAAGCATTGCCATAACATGCCTAAGTGAACATAATGTAGTATATAAAAATAAACTGGCACATATGTTTAAAAGGATGGGAAAAACAAGATCAAAACTCTAATTTGATATGCTGGAATCACATTTAATCTCAAATAATTATACAGGAGCTTTTGCAGACGATCTGTCTGCTTCATCAGCTGAAACTAGAATGGATGAGTTCATAGCATTAATCATGTTTTTATTGGTTCATGTTTTATTGGTTTTATTGGTTCTGTGCTTTGAATTGCAGTCCAGTTGTTTTACCAAAGCAGGCCTATGTATGAAGAAAAGTTATAATGTTCTGTTATAAAGATGACCATGCATAGACTGATGATGATGGTGGTTTTAGAGGAGTGAAATTTAGTACTAGTATGTATTTACATTTTTAGAAATGCTGGTCATTTTCAGAAGTGTTCATCTTAGGGAGGTGCTCATCGTGGCAGCATTTATTGTATTTTGAATATGAAAACTAATGACATAATTTGGAGACTAATGAGTACAATGATAGTTAATATGCTGTGAAAAATTTATGAAAATTGGATAAATAGGGAAGTAAAGAATCATTTTTTTTTAATCTGATGGGTATCTTAAAAGGTAAATAATTAGTTAAAAATGTTTTATCTCAAAAAGAGCATAAGGCCTAGTTTGCATATCAAAATCATAAGCACATTGTCATAAAATGACTTCAGAAATGCTACGTAATGATCTCTTACGTGAGGACTAGCTTTTCATACTGCTTACCTCTCCATAATTTTAAACATGAAATTACTGTATCAATATATTTTAGTTTGAAATCTTTCACATACAATACAAGCACTTTCTTGAAAATAAACTAAGATATAGTACTAAAAGTTAATATTGCTTATAACAATAACACAAATTACAACTTTTTTACCTAAAGTGAAAGTTGTTGTATTTCATTAAAAATAAAACTTACGTACTATTAATGTACTGATAACTGTTTCACGTAATAAATACTTCTCAATAGATACATACTTCAATAATGTCTTTTAGGAAGAACTGATAGAAAGACTTACTAGAAAGTTAGATGTTCTGAGATTAGAAAGGATAGCTTTGCAAGAAGACATAAAGCAGAATGATGAACTTGGTAACAGTCTTGCTTCTAAATTGGAAAAGATAGCAAAGCCTAATGAAGTAGAAAAATTTAAACTTCATGTAGAAGAGCTACAAAAAATTACCAATTTATTGTCTTCATTGTCTGGAAGGTTAGCTAGAGCAGAGAATGCACTGTTAATATTGCCATCTGATGTTTCCTTGGAAGAAAAGGTAAATTTGAATATAATGTATTATTACTTTTTTTTTTTCCAATTTTGCTTTATTTTTTTTTTTTTTTTTTTTTCTTAAGTTCAGAAACATTTTATTTTTAACTTAACGAAACTTTTTTCTTGTGTAACATGATTTTGAAATCTTCCAGATTCAAGCAATGATGGAATTTGGTTTATATTATATATGTAAATTGAGTTTTTGAATTGTTGTTAATACATAAATTTAATGAAAAAAAAAAACATGTTTGCAGACCATACTTTTCTTTTGAAGTGAGCATAAAACTGTTTTAATTTCAGAAAAATATTTTTTTTTTTAATTTTCTGTTCATCTTTTATTATTTGAATGCACATTTATAACTTTGTTCTCTGATTCTGTGTGCAGAATAAATGTATTCCATGAAATAGCTCATATTGTAGAGTCTTTCATTGCTGTTACATTATGCAGTTTTTATTGGTAGATTCATTAATATAAATTATTACATGCAGTATCAAATTGCTGGTTTGGTCATTTATCAGTGAAAAAGCTGAAATCACAATCTTAACGAGTAATTCAAAGTTGGAATCTTAAGGAGTAAGTCAAAGTTGAAGATTCTATTTTAGATTTTGTAGTATATTACCACTTAAATTATAACAAAGGCATCATTAAAAATAGGAATATGAAAAATTATCTGTTACAATAGAAATTCTGAAAAATATATTTATTTTGTATTGATGGGATGAAAGTGATATTTGCAAAATCTCAAAAGATCCCAATCATGTGAAAGGATTGTGATAGACTTCCTGCTAGCAGAATCATTGGTTCAATCTAATATTTAAACTGTATTATGAAGTGTTGATAACAATGTAATAACAGAAGGAATACAAACATTTTAGATAGCTCAGAGTGGAAAAAATTGGTTTATGAATATTATGTGACAAAATCAGCAGAATAGAATAAACTTTTACTGTTTCAAAATTTGCCAAGAGCTGAATAAGCGGCTATCGTATTTCTTCAAAAGACTGTTCTTGAATAACCATATCATGAAATTTAAATGTGAGTCATAGCCAAAATAGCATATTTTTTGCCATTTTGGTTAAGTACAAATTTTGCCATCTGTTGAGTGATGACTGGGGCATTGCCATCATAATGGAAGATTTCATTTATATCATATTTGTTAAAATTCTATTAATAATTGTCATTTGAAGGGGAAGCCTAGCGACAGCATACTAAATTCCAAAACAACTGTACATAGAAATTTTTAAAAATTTTAAAGGTAATTATTATGCTTTTTTTATCTTTTTCTTTTGTATAAGTTTAAATTAATTATAATATATTTCTGTATAGAAAAGTTAAAAAGAAATCAATTTTGTTATTGTAAATTTAATGAATTTTCCTTTACGAATTTATGAAATTTATTACTTCCTTTATGAAAATTATTTCTTTCATGATTTGACATCTTCACAGCCTAGTATCTCAAGCTGTGTAGATTTATCATCTTCTATTATTTTTTGAATTAAAAAATTCTGTAATTATGAAATTTCTTTGTACGTAGATCAGTCATCTTCATGTGTTATGAAAATAAAAGAAAAAGAAACTTATGTGGACACCATATAATTTCTCTGTATGGCCTATCAAATTATGCACACTTTTTCGTGCACTTCATTTTAACTTATTTTCTAGACTTTCACTAGAGATTATTTCTTATTCATTCAATTCAGTTCTCACTTTGTGGCAAGGCAAAAATATGTAAATTCTCAAAACATCTTCATTCAAAATTATAAAATAAGAAAACTAAAACATCAAATGCAGTGAAAAGCAATTTTTGCAGTTAAAATTAGTTTCTATGCAAAAACAAGCAGTTTGGCAAATGGGCAGAAAGACGCAGTTTTTGTTGCATAAAAATTTAAAGCTGCGTTTTCGCTCCACTGGGCAAGAAGACTCAGAAGTTGGTGCACCAGCTTACTTAATTCACTTCGCTACTGAGTTTCAAGTGTAAACAAACAGCTGGCACATTAGGCCTAGCAAAACTTAAACTTTTAAATTGTTGAATGCAGATTAACTAAAGGCATAAAAGCTTTAACCAGAACATAAGAAAGCATAAGTCAATCAATTTTAGAGCAAAAAAACGCACAATTTACCAACATATAGGAATAAAAATAGAAAAGGCTGAGCAAGCCGGGTAAGTGATTGAGTATATACAGGGTGTGTCAGCAAATTCGTTACAAACGTTCAGCAGAGATATAGTACACCTAGATAATGGAAAATCATGATCGAAAAGGCTTTCCTGGCGTGGTCGTGATGATACAAAACGCAAGAAAGGAGGAACGTGAACAGTGTGAGGAAGTATGTTTATTATGTGTAATACAGTAGAAATCAAGAAATAACATATCATTCAACTGTAGAATATTGTTTCTGGTAATATTGAAAGTCTCTTTCTTCATTTTCTGTTATATTTTATATAATAACCTTGCATCTTCCATTTCTGCACTCTTTGAATTACCATTGACTCTTCTGTAACTAAATTGCATTTTATATTACAGCGAATTCTTGATGCAAAATATCATAAATTGAAGCAGCAATATGAAGAAGCTTCATACTTGAAAGCCAATATTGACAAACGTAATAACCAAGTGTCAGTTTTCTTGCAAAAATATTTTACTAATGAAGAATATGCTGATTGTGATCATTTTATCAGTATGAAAGCTAGATTGTTATCAGACTATAAAGAACTGGATGAGAAGATCAAACTGGGTGAAGAACAACTTGCAGCATTAAAAAACAGTTTGAGTTGTAGTTCATTTAATTCAAATAAATATTTATGATTTCACTGCCAGCATGTATTATTGTGTCAAAAATAGTAGGTTATTTAATGTGTGAGATAGTAATTATCTGTTATGTTCATTTTCTTTGAGTTTATATGTTTGTACTGTCAGAACATTTTTACTCAAATAAAAATAATTCTCTGTCAACTCTTATCAGATTTTGAAGGTGCTCTGTATTTTTAGCAAAGCATTGACAATTTTGAAATTTTTTAAATATTTCTTTGGCATTCTATGTACTTTCTGATCTTAGAAATTTATTGTTTTAAGAGTCAAGAGTTTTACTTCTCATTGGCTTTGGGTACCTTGTAGGTGACAGTGTGATTTTTTGCAGCTTTGTCCCAATTTTTATGGAAAATGCTCAAAGGGATGGATTCAAGGGCTTTCTGCCCATCTTTCCCAGCCAACAGGGATTTTCTGTTTGAGAATATTTTAAGTGGACCTAATCTGGAGAGGCAGTATACACTTACAAACATCCATGCTTCTGTGGATTCAGTTTGGGCCCAAGGCCATGGCAGCTGGCTGTCTTACCATCATGCCAATTGGTTGGTGAACAAGAGATCAAAGGAAACGTAGTAGTTTAGAATAATCCATAGGATTTTTAAATCATCAAATTAATAAAGCAAAATGTTTTTTAATCATAATCCTTCATGCTGTCATCCAGTTCTTAAAAAAATACTGCTTCTCATTTGAAAATCCTTTCTCCTTAAATGTTACTTTTAATAATGTCTAGTTAATTTATCTTTTACTCATAAAATGATATTTTGTTATTAGGTGAGAGGTTATAGTGTGCATAAGTTCTAGGTCTGAAGATTTAAAATACTCCCTGTCTGACAGATATTATTTAGCATACTTTTATGAGTTTTCTTTATTAGGCACAACTAATAAAATATGAAAAGAATTATATTCTCTTATTATGTATTAATGGCTTTCCAGGTATTTGAGGCATTAATGGTAATAGTAATGCTACTTATCAATCAATTCCTACCATTGGATGTATGTAATTTTTATTAAACCTAATTTCCAACATCACCAGTTCATTAAACAATTAAATGATTTTATTATAAATGCCTCATCAAGAACCGAGAACTGAAATACAGAGCTGCTGACCTCTCAGTTTTACTGTTAGCCTTTTAAGGTTCTTATGTTAATTAATCAGTTGTGATTTTAGTCTTTACTTCTTCCTTTATTCTTCACCAGAAGACAAATTAGTATTTAGGGTATTTAAGCTTAGGGCTTTTGAATCTTAGGCAGAGAGATAGCTTCTGGCAGTCACAGCATTTGCCATAGCATTGTTACAATATGTGATAGCATTTATAGAATTCTGCCAGTTCTATCTAAATGTTCTTGGCTTTGCATTCTCTCACGGCCAATACTTTAAACTTACAATTAGTAAATTATTTGAACCAGCCTGTATCTTAGTGTTTGAAGACTGTTTTATCAATGTTTAAATTTAAGTGCCTGTTATTTTATGTCACCACAAGTGTTGGTTTATCTGTGGCACAAGGTGTGTTCTTTATACCGTATGTGCCGTATATTCAGTTTAATAAACAGGTTGTTTAAAACCTTCTTAAGTCTTTGTCTTACTGTTTCAGATATAAGATTGTTGAAGTAAAGTTCAAGTATTACTGATCACTAATGATCAAGGAAAAGGAAATGCTGTGAAGAAATTTTTGATAACAAGTTCTTAAAAAAAGCTAAGGTTTTTGTTATCTTATTTTAATGAAACTTGAAACTGAACAAGATGCATTTTTTCTGACTGATTTCTCTAATTTTTATTTGACCTTTTTTTAAAATCTGTTACAGAGCATTTTTCTCAAAATTTGACTAATACGTAAGAGGTAAATATTTATATTTAATTTGCTTTAAATTTTTAAATGGAGCACTTTTTAAGTTTATTACATATTTACATACACTTTAATTGTTAATTTTATTTGTGTATTTAAAATCACTGATAAATGAAAGACTTCTTTCCTACTTTGGTTTTCGTTAGTATATAATTTTAAAAAAATTCCAAAATCAAACTGAACTAGCAAAATACATAAAATTAAAGCTTAGAACAATGAATTACGTATTAATCTAATCTATTTTATCTGAGCAATGTATTAGAGTCCTGCAAACTCAACCCCTAATTACTTAACAATCACTTTTTTAATTTCTAAATTATTTCTACTGGTCAAACAGAGTATTATCTTTCAAGTAATGTTGTAGTTTAATAATAGTTTGACTATACTGTAATAATTTCTAACATTGCTTGTACAGTGTAAACAGTATACTGTATACTGTTTTAATTACTGTATTATTGTAGAGTTCATATTTTTGTGTATGAATGTATATTTTCCTGTTCTGTTAAAAGATTAGTTATGTTAGTCTAATTTTGCAATTTTTGTATCTTTCTCTTTATCTAAGATACTACTTCTTAGAACCTGTATAATGAATTTGGTATCAGATTTTATTTTTTATATAAAAATTTTGATCTGTTCCATTTTTCTACTTTATAAGAAAGTGGTTGAAAAAGTAAAATAGCTGATATCCTCTCGCATTCCTTTATATTGCTAGCTGTTAGCAGCCTTATCTGATGGTTTATGGCTCTATCCTACTGTAAGCTAAACTTTCAGTTCAACCTGGATAAAGTTTCTCAACTTACATAACCAGGTTTACTAATGTTGTGTTGTATTTGCCAGTGAAAATGTCAAATGAGAAGAAAAGAAAACAAATTAATATGAAAATTCCATGCCCAAAGAAACAGGACAAAGGGAAAAGTATTCATAACATTGCCATTGATCTATGTGTAGAATGAAATATATGAATAACCCATTCTTTCTTCTGTAAAAGTTGACATTTTCAGTAATTCATCACCCTCTCAGTACACAATGGGTCAAGTTTGCAGGACTCGTATGTATATAGTGACCATAAGACTAATTTCCCAATTTAGAGTCCAGTTTTCCATGTTCATATATTATAATTCTGTTTGTTGTGATGTTTGTAACATTCCTACACATCCCAATACTGGACCCATATTCAAGGGAAGGTGGAATCCAAGTAAAAGTCACTTTGAAGATATATGGAATTCACATTTGCTGATGACCTGAGCTCCCATATCACAGCCGATAGACCTTCAAAGTTCTCCTAGACCCACTGTTTAAAAACCTCCCAGTTTTTCAAGGCTGGCAGGTATGGAATTAAAAGTGTTGAAGCACTTTTAGAATTTTGAATATAGGCATAAGAATCTGCTTTCAAAAAAGTTACATTTTGCAGTATTTATTTTTTATCTGCAATTGTTTTTTGTCATATAGTATGCTGTTATAGGTACTCTTTAATGATGCTGTCATAATCTAGCATGCTTTAAACCTACACTATAAGTTTTTGGATCTGCCATAGGAAAATGCTGTTAATAGCTCTCAGGGTTAAAAAATTTTTGCACCGTTGTCAAATGTTTTTTAATTTTACAGCCCTGTTAATTTCTTGTACTCACTGCACTGTTGCCTTTTAGTGAGTAAACTAAAAATTACGAGGTAACATAAATGGCGCTATTATTAATAAACACAAGTATACATCAAAATCTGTGCTTGAAAAAGTCAAAAATTAAACATCGTAGAGTAAAGTAGGTTAAAAAGTGAACATCGAAGAACATGTGAAAAGGCATCATTGATAGTCTTGAGGTAGAACCTCTATATATTTTATTGTATGCTTTATTGAAAATGAAAATCAGAAAATTTAAAATTGTAGAGTCATATTTGTAACAATTTAATAATTGCAGAATCGCATTTATGAAATAATTCCTTTTTAGTTAAGTTTCATTCTGATTTTAATATTGTGCAATGTGCACGTGGAGTGAGATGGATAAAATCTGGGGATCAGTTGTTCCTCTACAGAATACTGTTTGCTTTAGTGTGAATTTGAAAGATACAACCTGTATCTTTCTATTGTATGATATATGTATATAATGTGTAAGCTGGCCGTTGTATATTTTAGTCATATTTATGCCTTTTTGTATCTTATTTATAGGTATTTTTATAAAATAAATAAAATGTATGCATAGGAGTCTTACAACATTTAATGCAAAGAAAGTATTCGAAAAACTTGTGAACTGTAATTTGTTATTAACTATATTGAAAATCTTGCATTTCGTATAAAAGGAATTTTATATGTTTATAATTTAAAATTGATATGTAAAAAGTCAGCCAAGTTATTCTTAAAATATAAAGTAAAATTTTATGACCTTCCTTTAAAACTGAGAAGATAAAATATTATATACACCTCTCTATGTTAGTCTGCCATTATCTTTGACAACAGCTGTCATTTTGGTAATGATTCATTTCCAAAATGATATGTGTACATAAGAAGCTTTAATATACTCAAAAGAAAATATTTATATATACTTATCTAATATAATGATCAATCATTTGTTACAGAAGTAACCAGATATAAAATATATTGTTGCTCATCATCTAAAGGTTACTTGTAGAGTCATGCATTTACTATTGTAAATTCACAGGCTAAAATTCATCTTGAAAATATGTTAATATAAATTATTATTTAAGGTTAGGTATTGAGGAGCTTGAAATGCTGGTAATTCAGTACCTCTGTTTGCCTATTTATTGCCATTCAGATGATATTGCATGGCATTTTCTTTTTTATGGTGATTATTGTTTTGAAGAGGTATGGTTAGTAGGCTGGGTTATTTCTTTTTAACTAAAGCTCTTGCCAACAGTCCTCATGTGTGAGAAATAATCTTAGGAATCCTGTGCCAGTGTTTACCAAATAGCAATGCCTTCACAAGCTTCATGCATGCATAGTTTCATTTTATCAGTGCCATGTTTTGTGATACATGATGTAGTCAGTACTATGATAGAACTATGAGTCAGTACTTAAGTGAGACGTAATCAGTACTATGGTTCGTTAGACCAAATAAATGTTTCCTCTTACATAAGTGAGAACTTTTGCATGATGTAATTAGTGCTAATTTATTAGACCAAATAAATGTTCTCCTCTCCACTTCTACATGCTATTTAATGATGTTTAAATTTCACATTTGGACATCATGAAATATCCTTTAGCACAGTCTGCTTTTTCAGTACAATAAGAATTCTTTCTCCATAGGCTTAATAGATGTGGCCTTTGAGCTTTTGGTGTTTAATGTTCACATTGGGATGCCATGAAATATCCTGTAGCATAATCTGCTTTTGCAGTACAGTAAAATTTCTTTGTGCATAGATTTAATAGGTGTGACCTTTTTAAATTCCAATGTGGTTTGATGTAAAAGAGCCATCTTCCTCCTTCCAGCAGTATAGTTTTCTGTATGCTGTATAAAAGCATATTTTATGTCTACAGATTCATTTCTTCTTTAATTAGTTTCATCATATATCACAAAACTTCTGTTAGACATGGGCAACATTTTATGTCGTAACTGAAATTTAAAAAAGAAATTGAGTGACTGGTCTTCATACTATCTGAAACCTGGTTACAGTAAATCATATTGGTATTTCTGTCTGTAATATATCATTTTGTAATTTTTCTCCATTCTGTAGAGGCATTCTCTGTTTGAAGTCATCATTTTGGTTCATTACCTTCTATAATATGAAAGTGCTGACTTGACTTGTGTGTATAGTAACATGTCTTTTCAAATTTACACATTATTGAGCTACTAATAATGTGACACTACTAATGTGTTTATTGCATTCATTATGAACATAATAATTTGTGTTTCTAATTTACCTATAATATTGAGCTGTTAATCAAATGTTGATATTTTTTGCTACTATACCTGTTTTTAAAGTTTCTCGTTATAAGTTATAAATATGATTAAAAGTATACTTTGTTAATTGCTTGTTTACTTTTGAAATTGAAAGTGCATAATAACTCTACAACAGACCCATTAAATTCATTACAGGTTCCCTATGTATTAACTGTTTGGTCTAATATCCTCAAATTTGCACGAAAAGTGTATATGTAGTTACATAAAATATTAGCTTTATCATACAAAGAAATTACTTTTAATATATTCTTTATCATCAATAATTTAAGTTTTTAAATGTCACTTAAAGGGTTATGATCATAATTATTGTTCTGTATACGACATCTTCTCTTATAATCATCATTTTTATTTCCATGTAATTTCGTTGTTAAGAATTCGTTTCCATTTATGGACATATGCAGAACAAGCAGTTTTTTTTAATCTTTTTGATTTTGTGCAAAAGATGTCTTATTTCTGTTTCTGTGTGAAGTAATTTATGCTGTGAACACTTGTCCTATACTGAAAAGAAATTACGGCTATGCGAGTAACCAATATATTATTCAATCAGCCAATCAATTTCCAAATTTTTAATAAGTTACTTCGCCAACACATTGATGCCATCTATCTGTAACATCATATGCTGACATTTTAGGTTGGTATAACTTAAGTCACGCTTAATTCAAAAATTAAGATAATAAAAGCTTAAAGAAGTGTAATAAACCTTGTCTTGTTCAAATTTCCTGCCTGGGAAGCAGCAAATGACACAACATGATGACCCCCCAGTAGGTGGTGCAGGTATTGTACCAGCACAACAAAATATTCCTTTTAAGATGTCTGTGGGGAATGTGATCAAATGTTGAGTGAGCAGCAGCCAAAATTCATCAGCAACTTCAAGTCTACAGTGCTAATATTGTGGCAAGCCTCTTTTCCCTTGTTTTGTATTCTTTTTTTGTGCAATCATTTTGTTAAAAAGCAGGACAGGTAAGCAATGTTTTGTGACCAAGCACACTCGTTATACATGGCAGTGTTCTATTTGAAGTTTTAATTCAAGATCGTCGTTCATTTCGACTTAGTGATATTTCTAAGAAATTCAACGTCTGGGCAGTGGGTACAGTATCGTTTGTAAGCAACTAGGATACCAGAAGATCTTCACATTGGTTGTCTAAGCAGCTCACAGACGGTCCCAAATTTACTACCAAGGAATTCTTTATCATGCGATTGAGGAGATTAATGAAAAACGTTACTGTTCCTATAACGTATTGTTACAGAGTTGAAATGTGTGTGTCATGATGGAAATACGCATCATCACCACCAAGAAATTCAGAATACATCCTTCCATGAAGAAAATTATGATGACGGTTTTTTGGAATTGATAGGTAGTGCACTTGTTTGATTTCCTCACTAAGGGAGTGACAGTAGATAAAGCCTGTTATTGTACCATATTGGTGTGGTTGCACGAGGCAGTTCACAGAAAGCAACTAAGACTTTCCTCAAAAGATATCATTTTGGTGCACAGTGGCCGACCATACGCAGCCACCATAGCATCTCTTTTTATGGTACAGAGTCTCTCTGTCTACAGCCCGGAACGAGCATTCTTTTCGTACTTTTGAAGAAACATTTGGGTGATAGTCACAACCAATACAGACTTTCAACAAGACATAACTTCAGTGACTTAACACTACTTTCATCAATGCTTTTATATATCGTTGGAATAAATGTTTAGAAAAGCTTGTAGAGTTTGTTGAAAAGTTGACTGTGCCATTGCCTTTTTATTGTGTTTCTGTAAATTGGCATAAGCAATAAACTTTGTCTCTGATAGATCTTCTTGCCTAATACGAGTACCATACCTTTGTGTATATATGTATATGCAGGATGGACCAACCTTTTTAAACATTCCTAAAATAGAAACTACTTAACATACAAAAATGTGTTTGCATTAAAGTTCATGCCAGGAATTCTGGATTCTTTCACCAGCAGATGTCACAGCACTATCCACCTATTCTTTAAATGACATAATCAAAGGGAAATTGCTTAAATACCGTACATTTGCTTCGTTATGCAGCATTTCTCATTATCCAAGTTTTCTGCAATTCACCACTGGAAGTCATCTTCTACAAGTATATCTGTTATACTGAAGGAACTTCAAGTATATTTACAAGTATATCTGTTATACTGATGAATATTTTAAGTGTGCTACGGAAAGTGGGTTTCTTGTGAACATCCAGGACTTCTGATATCACCAAAATAAAAAATCTGAGGCATTAAAATGGTAGTTGGTGAGACTAGGTAGAACATGAGCTGCTAATAGATCAGGGGGAGTAAATCGACCTCCTAAGTGGTTACGCCATCGTGCATAAACTTCACAATCCTTGTGAGATTGCATTAGATTTTAAGTAGCTAACATTGACCTGTTACTAACCTCGTTTTCCACCCACTTATTGTAGATCAATCTTCCAAAAAAGAAGGCCAATTATGATTGATGCTGTGAAACCGCACCACATAGTGAGTGTTATGGCTGCTTTGTATACGTGGGGGTGACTGGCTCTGCTCAAGTGCGAAAAGTTGCGTGGAAAAAAAAATATGCTTTGCGTGTCCGTTTGCGCAAAATCGATTGGGGATAAGCAGCAATTTCTTCCAATTCCAATGTGGCAATTCCTGCCGCTTATGCGTGGTTGCAGCTTGTAGAGATGCAATTACAACCAACCATTAAAAATCCACAATACCAATGAATTAAGTAGACTTGTGGTTCTTATAATATCCCGAGCACTGCCGAAAATGCTTTTTAATTGAGCTGTCAGATTGCCACCATGGATTTTGCGGTAGGCGGTCTACAACCATATGTTCAATAGGCCAAACACTTAGTTTCCTTGAAAGGTCTCATGAGAGTTGTTAGCTCTGTAGAGTCACTAAGCTTTAGTATGTTTCATCCATTTTCTTCGAACAAAACTGCCGTAAAGCTATAATGAATTCTTTGCAGCTCAGAACGGTTAACTAGCAATGTCAAATCGACCAAATTCAACTTGCAATAACTCGTCATTAAAATCCACGAGTGTAAACTTTGTGGAAAACTGAAGATCTGTGGCTGGACAGCTTCTTTCAAAGGTAATCTCATTTCCGATCTACGTGTCCTGGTTAGGGCGTAATTTCTAAAATCAGAAGTGCGGAGCCATACGAAAGTCCATCAAAAAAGGAAAATAATTAATAAAAAGTATATAGTTAAATAAAATGTGATGCGATAAACAAAAGTTTAATACTTTTTAAATTTATGATGAATAGTTAAATAACAAAATAAAATACTGGAATTCGTCTTATGAGACAATGGTTGGAATTATAACTTTGGATGAAAAACTAAGAAATCCCCGATTGGATTTAGACCCTGAATATGACTGTAAAGATTATAGAAAAAAGAAAACTCATTTTCCAGAACACTGATGAAAGAAGATAAAACAGCTAACCCGCTGCTATAAGAATAGAAAGAATGCTAGAAACAATAACAAAGTATGAAAGGAAATAATGGTTGCTTTGTCTTTTCCTCCAAAATGGCATTTCTCCTAATTTGCCTTCACCTTGTCCACTTGCGGAGGAGAATCTTTTCACCATTTCCCCATTGTACTCTTAATCTCAGTATCACGGGCCAGATGGGAAAGTGAAATTAGTTCGGCTTGTTTGATTATGGAAAAGCACTCTAGAGCCGTCTCTCTAAGGGCAGGGATGCCCTCATGGAGGACCTTCTACGAGAAATTGGCTCGTAACTGCATTACATATAGGGAAAAGGAAAATAACGAAAATGCCCATGCAGCCAGCCAGTTCGCCAGGAATCGAACTCGGGTCGAAGCAGCAGCGTTCAGCGAAATTTCCGCTTGGCCGCTTGTGCTCCCTTGGGGGAAGGTTGAGAGTGGAGTGTGTCTCATTCTGCTCATTCAGTTCCTCATCTCTTTAATCTCTTCCTCTATTTTCACATAAGTTTTACTGATATCCACAATTATTAGTGAGCTATATTATATGAATTTCAATTCATGGATATTTTCTTCTTTAGCTTCTTTTTTTAATGTACATTTTTATCCTAATTTACGTATTTGTTTATTTACATATTATACACAATTTTAAATAATAAACAATAATAAAAGCGTCTACTCTTTATGATAATTAAATAAATGTACTAACATCATTTTCGTACATTAAACGTCCACATACATGAAATAATGCTTACTTTCATGCAATAATAAGACATTATTTTCATTTCTCATCCTCTCTCTGTTTAATGTCAATTTAATTAGTGCAGGATAATATTTCGGGAATGGTTATTTTAGATACTTAGTTAAAGGGAAGAATGAACTACAGTACGAAGTCTCTAATCCGGACGTCCATTATCCGGAATGATCTATAACCCGGACCTCAAAGCCACAAACTTACGCATGTGCGTAAAGCCAGTGAAGCATTTACCCATGCGCGCTTCCGATAGTGAAGAAGGTAACAGAGAACATTATTGAAAACGAAAAAATTTCGATTGACAAGTTAGTCGGTATTCTCGATACAGCAATTACAGGACTTGAACGGTGGAACTTTGTAATTGAACAAGGAATTATGTCTTTATAGAATTAAAGAGAAAGTATTAGTACAAAAAACAGAGCAGCTTAAACAACTTACATTGATAGAAATGTTTACTAAAGTAAACAAATCAATATCAAGATTTTTTTTTTTTTGTGTAAATTTTGATACCCTTTAGATTATAATTGCTCTTTATTTCATAAATTACTGTTTCATGTTTTTAATTGTATAATTTCTGCATCCCATCTTACCAGATTTAAACTGATGATCTATAATCCGAAAAAACCCCTAATCCGGAATCGCCGAAGTCCCGACGAGTCCGGATTACGGACATTGTACTGTATTTAATAATGAAATGTAACATCTTTTGAATATCGCAATTTAATCACGCCAATTTTTAAAAAAAATTCTTTTTACTAAACAAATGTAATTATTTTGTTTAAAACTCTTGAGACGCTTTGGAAAAAATTTACATATTTTCATACAGAGTAACTAACTCCTTAGCCAAAAGATTCGCTACTTGAAATTTCCATATGTATA